ACAACAACAACAACAAAAACAAAAAACAAAAAACAAAAAAAAAAAAAAAAAAACAAAAAAATTTGGGTTGGTGTGCAAAGTCCTGAAAGAGCTCTACATTTAACTTTTACTATCATCGGTCTGTTTCTTAGAAGATTGGAAATCTACTGCTCTGTAGCGTCCAACAGATGTAAACGCCGAAGGAAAGTTTCTTGTCGTTGTTTTACTGATGAAGGCTAATTGCCGCAACGTCCTCTGTTTGTTCATTGTAACTGATTTTGTAAAGCTGACATATACTTGAATATATTCTCAGCCTTTTCTATTCCATCTATTCGTTTTATATTTTTCTGTCTTTTTAAAAAAAGTATATGCCGTGAGCAAAGTCACCATAGGCTAAAAGTAGAGGTCGGTTGTCTTGGGATTGCTGCTGTAGCTGGCGACTAAGCACCTACTGGAATGCCCAATGTGCGGTGACGTCGAATACCATAACACAACATCAAGACTCGAGTACGAAACTTCTTGCTTTCCCACGTACCTCCCACCAGATTTGATTCTACCTTACATAGGTCACCGAAAGTGATCAAGCAGAAACGAACATGCAATGATTCAAACTGGACAACCGTTTGGCTTCCATTTCTGGCTTTTGTTTAGGGATTTCTTTTGTGCCTGATCAATAAATCTTCACCAAAACGTCGGAAGCAATGACATGTTAATTCGTTGTGCCTGAATCGGCCAGGATTTATTTCGCATGTATGATTGACGCTCTACATTCCCAAAGGAAACGCCGAAAATGAACATTTCGCAACCAATGACGCATTTCCACAAATCGATGGCGTGTCCAAGTGTAGGAAAGAAAACGGAGTTTTTATATTAAATATACACGGTGACATAATACCCGACGTGAAACCAGGCCAGTTATGTGGATCATATACTGAAGATGTTTCCCAAAAAAAAAAAAAAAAATGGTCACTGACATGATCTATATTTATGTGGAAACATATAGAACAGTCTTTTTCTGCTGAAAGTATTCGATTGTGTTGCTAATGAAACCAGGTTACATATAAGAGTAACCAAATCATGTCTGTGGTAATTGGTATTTAGCTCACCATGCAGGTTTGAGGTTTCAGGTTCAACATTACGACACACGGGTAGCAACCGAAAAGTGCTCCGTTCTACTCCTAACTCAAATCTGAGTTCGAAGTAGCTCAGCACAGTGCACGGGTTCCGTAGCACCGGCGAGGATACTAAAATACTTTGGGTAGATTATCACCTCGAAATTTTGCCCGGGCAACGCCGTTAGGCTAATTTTTTCGATTTCAAACTGCCAAGGGATTTTTTTTTTTTTACCTGGGCAACAATACAAACAGGCGTCCACTCTCACTACCCAGAGACCAGAGGAAATTACTACAAAAAAATATCAGCCCTCACCGGGGCCTGAACCTGGGACCTCCAGCACTAGAGGCGGACACCATGCTTCGAGACCACGCAGCCACCCTACCATACAAGTGAACCATTTCATCATCTTCTTCTGTTGTTCGCCTGAAATCAGTTGTCTATATCAGCAATGTGTCCATAAAGTACAACATATTCTTCTATATACCCCTACCTCTGTTTGTTGTTTGTTTTAGTATCCAGAAGGCATAAGTTGTTAACCCTTAGGCTCGGTATTATGGATATCGCAACCTTTCGGCCTTGATTCCATTGTATTTTTCTCTGGGAGAAATGTGGCTTTTCTGCCTACCCCCGGGAGTGAACCCGGACCACAAGGAGTTCGTCACCCGGTCACCGCGCAATCCGGTTTAACCAATTACGCTAGAGAGCTAGGCACCCATACATCTAGAGACAGTTTATTCCTGCATTTTTTTTTCTATATTCTTACATCTTGTCATCCCTATGTGGAATGCAATTTTTCGTTATTTTGAAGCCCCAACCTGGCTCTTGCCAGGGGCCGCAATATAGCCCGGCCTTAAATATGGCCTAATGACTTAACGCGGTTTCTGAGACCTCTCCACGGGGGATCCTCATCCACATGATGGCACTTTGCGTCATCTGGTGTTTATCGCTTGTGTAATGTCCTTCCTGGTGGGGTAAAAGAAGATGGATAGATTTCTTTTTATCCTGTACAAACGCTTCAATATCATATATGGAGTCCAATCCAGCACCTTTGGCCTCTCCCATTAACGTTCGTTGTAGACTCCACATTGGACGTCTTCCTTTTTTCAGTCCTTTTTTTTCCCATCTCATTGCCTGTCTGGTTATTTCCGGCACGTTTCTTGCCAGGATGTGTCCAATATAGCGCCAGATTCTTTATCATATAACTGCTGTTACAGTGGCTGTCCGGACATATCTCTTATTTCTTCACTCCTCTTGAATTCATCACATTTTATGCTCAATGTTTTCAGGCGTTTTTATCTCTGCATAAATACATTTAATTTTCTGGTACTTAATTTATAACTTACCCCTGACGTCACGACAACGTCATGGGAGACATTCCCAATAAATTCTAGGGTGTTCAGGTTGTAGTTTCTCGTGATTTCTCTACAGTAAAATTTAGGGTTAGGGTTAGGATTAGAAGACACTAGATGAACACTAAAAAAAAAAGCACACTTGCACCCCTTGAAATAATGGACTGTCAGGTCAGCTGTGGATTTCCCACGGGTATTTCCTGTTTGGGGTACGTTATAAATTAAGAAACAATTTTCTTCCATGTCTCTAGTTGTTCTTTAACATTCACTGGCCTATGTTGAATTTTAAATAGAAATACTTAACTTGGTTTTAAAACCATATAATTTAGAGTTTTCAAATTGTGTTCATGTTCCGTGACAGTTATCTATCAGTTAGTCGACAGATTACCCTCACTGCACATCGAACCATTCAGTCCATAGGTGCTCTGATCCCCTCTGTAGTAAACCCCACAGCGGGATGATACCAGTTCTATGTTGGTTTCTTATTTTTCTTTGGGTTCCCGCATAGTGCTCTTGTCTGGCCACATCCCATTTTTACTTGCTGTTCTTGCAGTCTGATCGTCTTTGCAGATTCACAGTCATCACTTGGTTTTTGCAAACGTCTCACTTCTAGTAGCGCATTCAGAATATCAGCCTGGTCCATGGCACGTCAGTCCTTGACAGAAGCTTTACTTGCAAGTCTGTCAGCTTGCTCATTTTCTTGCACACTTGCGTGCCCTCGCACGGAAATGATACTGATCTGCGTGAGCCCCGACCGCCTCAGAAATGTGCTAAATCAAACAGCACATCGTTTATGTAACTAAACACTCTCCATGTGGGTTGCAGAGCCTCGTGGGGCGGGGGATTGGGGTAGGAGCAGAACAGACAAACTACTCCTTAACAAGCAGGTCTTGATTTCCTGAAATCAGATGTGTAGTGTCGAAAACGGCAAAACATCATAGCCTAGGTGCAAACTACAACGCAACGTTCTAACTAACCTTTACAGGGGAAATGAAGAAAAAGAAAACATCCTTTTTTTTGGCTTGCTATCAGTTATATATAATGTTGTCTCTTTCGACTCAAACAGTCAAACATTATGCAGCGTTTCAAAAAACACAATTTTGTGGGCAACATCTTTAATTGACAGATGAATTCTCAAACAAAAACGTTAGCGATTTAATCCAAGAAACAAGCAAGGGAAGAACATAAGCAGATGACAGAAGCAAGAATCTCTTACCATGCCAGCTTGGATTATGCGTCTGGCAAGATAAGATTCTTTTCTTTCGATCCAAATAGGCAAGCGTTTTCAATTATATTGTGTAAAAACGCAGTTCCAAATTGAATACATATGGATAAAAGGGCAGCTTAAAAAAAAAAGCAAAAATGGTTGGAAGTAAATATATGTGAGAATGATTTAATTAAAAGAGTTTCCCTCAACTTTGCTGTGTTGTTTCGTTTTTTTTTTCTTTGTATTATCTTTTTTTTAGTTAATATATTCACACGGGAGAGTTTTGGGAAATGCCATTCTGGTCTCAAGACTCAGTGAAGGGAAAACCCCAACTGCACCTCCACGCGGTAGAGGACGGTAAACACACTGCTGTGTGGCCAGCGCAGCTATGGGGACCGAGTATCCGCCGGGATAAGTGGACACCTCTGGTGTGCCCTGTGCTGTTAGCAGGAGCATCACAGAGCAGGGCACTCACTTGCCCTAGCAATCGAAAAGGTTGCTGAAGGCTGAGGACGCAGTCTAAAGCCATGTGGATGTGGAAAGCAAAGGGAAACTACCACATTACTGTCCCAGGAAACTCATCATGGAAGCCAAAAATGAAAAGATTCTCCGAATATCTTGGACAAAGAAGAGGAGAAATACTGACATCTTGAAAGATCTGAACATCAAGGAAGATTGGCTAATAAACAGCATCCTGTCTCGGAAGCTGAAATATTTTGGTCATATCACACGCCACGACGAATTAGAAAAACAATTATAACAGAAGGCATGGTACCAGGAAGGAGGGGTAGGGGCCGACCGACACGAAGATGGGCACAGGATATAAGTGACTCCTTGAGTGTGAAAGTGCATGAGGCGGAAGATATATATATATATATATAACAGAATATTTGAAATAGCATGAGCTGTATAAACTACAAATTAAACACTTGTCTGGCTGGAAAAGGTTCAACGTGCCACCAAGTACAGGAAAACAACTTGTTGTTGCTGGAACCCAGCCTTGCTTATGGTCTGTTTTTAGAGGGACCGAACGACCAGCAGTGGGACCCCTGGACCCGATCATAACATGCTGTCTACCAGGGCAAACATAATCCCTCGCTTGGTCAGTTCGTGGTATCTGCACTAGTCCTTAGACTTTTAATTAATCTTTAGGCGGAACTTTCCCTTCCCCATATTTGCCTCGGGGCCACTCACACACAAAATTTGTTCCCCCCCCCTCCCCCATCCAGCCAAAACAAGTAGTTTAAAAAGGCAGTAAAAAACACTTTCAAACCATTATATTCTGTCGTCGATTATCTGCCCAAAAAACACTCTTACAGACGTTCACTCTAACATAGTAATACACTCAC